TAGACTATGGTTATGATGCCTACTTTGGTCAGTAGATCAAACCAAAATAAGGGTACATTTTTTTCTAAATGACATAAATGCATTAAATTTATGGAACAACATTATGAGTTTACAAAGTCATGTGATAGTTCATAACGGTTGTTAATATTAAATTAAGATTTTCTATGAAACAGTGAAGTATTGACTCAGCCAACAGCTTTCAGCACCTCAACAACTGTGTCATGTTCAGACCTGTTAAAGGGTCAGCATGGGTCTCCACCTCTCTTACTGCTGGATTTAAAGAAAAAAAATGCCTTGTATTTCTGTGGAAAACACACCTAGTTAATGAACCAGCTGGCTCACAGATAAAACAAGCAAAACTAGCTCCGCTAAACAGTTAAGGGCTTCCTTAACTGCCAAAAAATACGTCATAAAGAAATAAGAGAGGAAGCAACATTTTCCTTAAAATCATAAATATAATTGCTCCACATATAGCATCCTTTAGGAATGGCTGCTTTTGTACTGAAATAAAAATAAAAACTTGAAAACTTTGTTATCAAATGTCAATCTTATTTATTAAAAGAAAAAAACAACAACAGACAGCTTTGTTGACAATGCAATTACCACCAACCTCTATGGAAATTTTAAGTATGGCCTACACCCAGAAAATACTGCATAGAAGAGAAACATTTATCAGTCTGGGAATTGAGATCCATTGTCTACTAATGGAGAAATAAACCTTCCCAGTAAAGACCAGCCAACCAAAGTTACTGCAAGAATATGCTGACGACATAATGACGATAATAACAAAAACAGGTCATGAAAGAATAAAATCTACCCTTGTAATGTATAAAATGTATTTGCTTAGTTTTGCTCTGCCCTGTAAAGACAGAGCATCTTTTATAGATCAAATTTTTGGTTTGGAGCATTAGAAACCCCACATACTAAACTCTGCAGGCTTAACTTCTCTTAGTTAAGTTAATGATCCATCAATAATAAAGAGACACACAAATCAGTGAGTTCCAGGCAAAAACTTCTGCTGAGTAGGGATTGGTCTGATATTAGCCATCCATCCATTTTCTGTCACATTTATCCCAAGTGAGGTCCCAAAGGGTGCTGGTGCTCTAGCTGACTACAGGCAAGAGGCAGGGAACACCCTGGACAGGTCACCAGTCCTTCACAGGGCAACACAGAACAAACAACCATTCACGTACACAATCACACCTAAGAAGAAATTAGAGAAGTCAATTAACCTAACAGTCATGTCAGACATGTTTTTGGACTGCGGGAGGAGTACCTGGAGAGAACCCACACATGCTCAGGGAGAACATGCAAACTCCATGCAGTAAGACCCCCATGCCAGGAATCAAACCCCCAACCTCCTTGCTGAAAGGCAGCAGTGCTACCCACTGCTCCACTGAGCAGCCCATATTAACCAGAAAAATAATATCGGATTTTTTTGGGTAGTCTCTAAAATCTCTGATATTTATGTAGTTCTGTTTAAAGTTTCTGTAATTCATTGCTTATTTTTACATGGGTCAGTTGTTTTCATACTTTTTGTTGTTGACTTTTTCTCCCTGTTATATCAATATTATTTTCTAACATTCTACAATATAAAATAAGTAATAAAAGCAGTATGATTCATGCTAATATCGGATTGGGTAAATTTTGGTATGGGTCGATTCTCAAAGCTGCAATATCGGTATTGTATTGGAAATAAAATGGTTTTATCGTCAGACAACTACTGCTTATCAAGCCATACCGTCTCACATTTACAAAACGATACATCTTTATGATCTCCTACTCTTATCCTTGTCTGATATTGAATGTGTTTAATGATCTAAACACATATAAATGCAATAAAACAGCAAAAACAAAAGTTGAGGCGGGCTAATAGCACTTCTCACAGCACAGGTTTGGTTAGAGGGCTGGTGAGTTGACAAAGATGGGGAAGTTTGCTCAGAACTGAGAACTCAGAACTCAAAAACCACCGTCGCTAATTAGGGTCCTATGAGTGGGGCTCCTAAACACATGTTCTAAAAGGCAGAAAGATTTTATGAGGGATAAAAACATCTAATCAGTTTAATTCAGTTTATATATATAGAGCCACTTCACAACACAAGTCATCTCAAGGCATTTTAAAATTCAACCAGATCACACAGTCAAATTGATTTAAAGTTCTATCTAAGGAAAGCCAGTTGATTACATCAACTTATAGACTCAAAAGCAATCCCTTACACCAAGCATGCTTGTAGTTACAGTGGAGAGGAAAACTCTCTTTTAACAGGAAGAAACCCCCAGCAGAACCAGGCTCAGTGTGAACGGCCTTCTGCCGAGGCCGACTGAGGTTCAAGAGACAGCAGCAGAGATACAAAAGGCGACTGTAAAAGGTGGCCCATGTAGGAAACACACAGCCAGGCAGACGAGCTCCACAGTTAGAGAAACAGGACTACACTGAAAAACAGGCCAAGCTATAATATCTATAAACAAAGGTGTTGATGGCAGTAACACTGTGATATTTCTCCCCAGGATGGTGTCACAGCCAAACAGGAACAGACCAGATGAAGCTACTATGATGAGAAAAAGCAGAGAGAGCATAAGGTTAGGGACTGAACTAACAAATTCTGCAGCATGGGACAATGAGATAGAATAAAGCATAATGATGAAAAGGGGTCCCTATGTCATCCAGCAGTCTAAGCCTATAACAGCATAACTATAGAAATAGCTCAGGATAACCTGAATCACTCTAACTATAAGCTTTATCAAAAGGAACAGATCCTTCACCTATTGAGTTTTCTCTGCCAATAAACTGAAAAAAACAACTAAATAATTGTTTAAATGAAATAAAAGATAAATGATGGTAGTTGTTTGCGTTGCATATAACCAGTATTGTGCTGGCCTATGAATGCTTATCAGCTGAGATTAACTGCAAAACCTGAAGACTGCAGGCTGGTTAAAGAGGAAGTATTACTTGTTAGTACCGAGTGAGCTTAAACATCGAAGGTATGTCAAAGGCTGAAGCCCTGAGGCTCAAAGTGACAGTTGATAGAAGTCACACACTATTTGAACTCATATCACCCCAGGCTGCTTTACTTTTAGAACTGTTTATCGTTTTTCACACCATGGATATAGATCAGTAAATCAAAAGTAGACAGCTTATTTTTTAAATTTGCCTTAAAATTGCATTGTAATAAAATAGTCTTTTAGGTCGACAGATATGCCATTATAGTTTTCTGTGTGTAGAATTGGGTTTAAATCCCTCCCTTTTAGAAACATTTTAGTATCAAGCTTATATTAATTTAACAAGTAATGAAAATGCAGTGAACTGTGAATCTTTTTATATATATATCTATGTTAAATTTCAAGGTTACAGTTTAAGAGATGATCATCAACAGGTTAATATTTCAACTTGTATAAGAGCAAGGTTTAACAGGTTTATTATATGTAGATGAATAACAGAAGTTGGGTCTGGAACTCAGTGGACTGGTGAACCGGAACTTGAAAGTGAAGGGGAGATCACAGTGATCAGTTCAGAGACCGTAGGAAACTTGACTGAGGCTTGAAAATTACTGGAGAGGGACTCACGTTTGAGGGGGCTCTTGTCAATCCTTGAATCCAGCTTGTGGGGGTTTATCCAGAGAAGAGTGAACTCGTTGGAGGGCGGACAGATAGACAAACGTTGGACCCAGAGGAGTAAAGGAGCGGACTGTCAGTTTGATTTCCGAAGAGGACTTGAACGGATCATGTGGAGGTTTTCCACTCCTCAGTGTGTTCTCTGTAAATATTTCCAGGGGAAGAAGGTCCAGGTATCCAGTTACTCAGGAAGGCTTCCTGCCAAAGAGCAAAGACAAAAAAAAACTAGATAAGACTCAGAGAAACAAAGCTTAGGTTAGACTCAGCTAATCTCAGCTTTGCTAGAGTACCCAAAACTGGCAAACACTCTGGTGTCAAGGTAGTGACAGCCCACTGCTCAAATACTCCTCCAGTAATGATCCAACGAGCCACAGATGTGCAGGGAGGCCCAAGGAGGACAGGGCACCACTTGGTGGTGGAGAGAGCAAAACACACAAAAGACCCACACAAACTGGATTCCTAACAAATTTGACAAATCAAGGAAAAATAGTTCTATCCAAGCTGGTTGTTTAGCTGGTGATCTGCAAAGATAAAATAATTCACTTTAATTTTGCAGAATGAAGGTTGCTTCAAGGTTTATCTATAAATCTAAATCCTTTATGCAGTCCTGGCTCTAGCTGGAAAATTTAACTCAAAAAATATTGTTTGTAGCTTATCATACAGGGTCTTTTTAAGAAAAGCAGGCCCACAGCTTTATCAATCCTCCACTTTACTTAACATTAAGTTTCAAGTGCTTTATTTTAACCCCCCGGAGTGTTTATTGCAGCAAAAGCCAGGATTCATGCTTTACCAGTTAAATTCCAAGCAGAGATTAGCCAACTTCATGTTGAAGTTTGTTACAGTTGGAACAGATAATCTTCTTTCCTGGCATCATTCCCAAATAAGTTGGAATGTAGATAGATTATTTGCAACATGTTGTTTTAAAGATCGTTGAAATCAACATGATCCTTTTTTCCAGTTCTTCTCTAACACATTTGGAGATTTTTTTTTACCTACCCCCCTGTGTACTGGATTAAAAGACACAATAAATATTGGTCAAGTTTAATCATGGAGACATCTTACTCATCAGGTTAAGCAAGTTTCTCATCTCCTAATTAAACACTGGTTAAAAAAAATCATCTGAGACCCTTTAATCAGACATAAATGCCGACGTTTCTCGCGAAAGTGAAAACGTCGGCTTGTGTTTTGATGCTAGCCAAAACACTTTTTCTCCTACTTGCGGTTGGATTTGACCTTTGACTGCAATGCTGAGGAACAAACACTTAATCCTAGCATGATTTTATACTTTCCTCTTCCTTGTTCTTAGAATGCTCCTTCCTCCCTCCTTCGCCTTCTCTCTTTCACTCTCTCTCTCTATCTATCTACCCATCTTTGTTTTTGCATAACCAGTGTGACATCAGCTCCAGGATCTACTCCCACTCACATCAGTATGAGCCTTGTTGCATTATTCCAGATTCCTGCTTGGATGCTCACTTGACAACAACCTTCTCCATAAAGTAGGTAAAACTTTACACTTTACGTGCAGATGCTTATTTCATACTTTATAGCCACTTGTGGTTCATTTAATAATTTTATGAAATATTTCATCGTTAGTCATCATTCATTGCTAAATAGTTGTCATGCAGGTTGTGGTTGACTGAAATCTTCAGCTTAGGAATTTTCCTTCTTCATCCTTAATAGATATAAAATTTAAGCTGATTTAGGAACATTTGATGCACAAAATAACTCGATTTGGTGTTTATATTGCAGTTGAACTTTGTTATTATCTCTCAGTCTCACCTGTTAATTATTTATTTTATTCTCTGCTTTGGTTGTTTTTTAATCTTTGCTGGAACACGAAGCCTTTAACTTAACATGTAATAATTACATTCTTCTTATTCAGACTTTTTAGTTATTTTTTTTGTTTGCAGTAACATTATTTGGGCTGTTGGTTTATTAATCAACTGTCTTTGCTGAGTTTGCTGCTGCAAAGTGAAAGCAGGAAGAAAAATGTCCTTTCCTCTTATTCCAGTAATCATATCAAGCTCTCTGTACCGCACCGAATCAGAGTTGTAACCTCTGATTTTTATGTGTTATTAAATCCTTTCAGGAATAGGAGGTTTCATTTTTTTTCAAGAAACATTCAAATTCAAGTTCTTAAAATCAGTTAAATCGATACGGCCTCTGCAAAGTTATGTCAGAAAGCATCAAACTTTAAGAGAAAATAGATTATGTGCAATGTACAGACATTACAGCTGTGAAAAAAGTAACCACTAACTTAAATACATTGGAGAGTTAAATTACAGAACAAGTTGTGGATAGACCTGAATATTTTTGCATGCAGATAACTTTAAAATCTCTTTGGTTTGCATATAACCAACTAAAATAACCACAGTAACTATCAAGCCTCAGTATTTGTACAATGTAATTTTTTGGCAAACATGATGTCTTAGTAATGCTTATGATCAGCTGCACCAGTATGAAGGTAATGAAAAAGTAATGCCCCTGACACACTTTCATTTTTTTGCTCTAGCTGAAATATTGCATTTTTGCAAATTTTGAAATTTATATCTCTTTAGATAAAGTGGCAAATCGCAGTTCTGAGCTAATTGTGGCTTCTGATTTACAGGTGTTTGAACTGAGTCAAATCTGATATGGAGATTGTTGAATGTCGGGCAATGATCTGTTGCATCATCACCATAATTTACTTTCATTTCAGGAAAAGTCTCCCGTAGTGTGTGTCCTTTCAAATACAAAAAACGGATCACTGCCCGACACTCAAATGGCTACATTTCAGACTCAGTTCAAGCACCTGTAAATCAGAAACCACAATTAGTTCAGAGATGTAATTTTCCACTTAATCTATAGACATTTAAGTAATTGCACGTGAAAAATTTCATCTAGATCAAACAACTGGAAGTGGATCAGAGGCATTACTTACTGAACGCCCCTCGTAAGTCTGGGTTAACGCCAAAGTTATTTTGGTTGTGAAAGAGTGCAAGGTTCAAATTGCCCTCAAGCTACTGCAAACATCCAGACTGGTACCTGCGGCGGATTTGGCAACAAATAAGCGAGAAATTTGAAGATGAGAGATGAGATGTCACAGTAATCATATAAAAAAATCGTCCCATTTCAGTTCTGTCAAACAGATTTTCTTCATTAAAATTAAACAGCCTAGAGAAAGTATTCTCCACATGGATAGCTTGCATCTCCCACTGCAGCAGGTCATATACGCTGTCAAGGCATAGAAACATAGTACTGTGACACAGATAAATTTAAGGCAGATTTCAGGCAGTTTCCAGACAAATATTAAACACACAATATTATATAATGTATGCAGAAATTCTACCATCCATCATCCATTTCACGACTATCTGTATAGAGGTACATTTGTTATTAAACTTTTTAAAGTATTGATTTTAGCCATAATAACATGGCATCATATTCAGAAATTAAAACAATGCCATATGTGAATGTAAAGGCATACTTTAAGTATTTTTTTGAATAAAGAGTAGGAGGTAAACTCACCTGCTAAAGATAGACCGCAGCACTCCGTTTAAAGGCCAACTATTAGTCTCAGATCATTATTATTATTATTATTATTATTATGGATAAGTTAAAACTGAACGTTTTAACTTATCCTTAAAAAGCTGAATGTTGAGGAAAAAATAGAGCCTGAGGAGTGAGTACAGAAGCCCACTATGAAACATGGTAGTGGCAGTATCATGCTGAAGGTTGATTGGATGAAACCCCAATAGAAGCTGCAAAAGACTTAAAAAGTTAAAGTCCAAAACTAAATCCAATCAGGAAACTTTGGAGAGCTTCAGCTTTGCTTTTTACTCCTCATACAGCCTGAGTGTAGATTCACACAACTGATGATTATAGACTTATGTGGGAGATTAACTGAGATTAACTATTAACATAACAGCATATGTTAAAAGCACACACATAGTCCATGGATTAAGCTGTGGATAGTGTGCTTGTTCACTGAAATAAAGACTTCCACTTCAAAATGATTAACTGCTTTTTGATTGTCTATTAAAATCCCTTGGGAAATATTTTCAGGTTGCAGTTAAAAAATTGTGGATAAGGTCATGGGTTTAAACTTCCCTTGGAGGTATATAAAAACAGCTGAGATATAAAAAGAAAAGTACAACCGTCATTTTCCTAAAAAAGGTTGTTTGTCTTTGAGAGGAAAATTTAATTGTAGGAAAAACTGAGTCATTATCAGACGTCTCTATGTTTCTCTGTGCCGTTCCAATAAATCTGGTTTTATAATCCATACTTACACCTGACGGAGGGGACTGCCTTTGGCAAAAAAGCAAACTGATTCCACAACATCGTGACATTCTTTAAATGTTTTTGTCAAACGCGACAGAGCTGCCAGGACTTGTCGGGGTTTTTGACAGCTCCTCAGCCGCACTTTGCAACCTGCTTAATGACTTCGAACTTTCATAAAACATGTTTAGTTTACCCAAAAAACTTATAACTGTTACTTAGTAGTAATTTTTTCTTTTACCTTTGGATTTAATAAAGTATTTTTTACTTAAATTTGAACTGAATAGTCCTCAACCTGAAGTGCATCCCTGAAAAAGTTTTCTATCACCAGCCATCGCTGGTAGGAGGTGTGTGGGTTTGCAAAAAAGTAAAAAAGACATCTGTGTGTCGTCGCCCCATCAAATGATGTGCTACTATGAAGCATTACTCTGTATCATAGTACTAAGGCCCTATCAATATGATTACAAATCTTCCAAAAAAGCAGGTGTTTCAGGTTGATTCTGTAATCTGTATGGGAGGCTGCTACTGCCAAAAATGTATAGTCAGAGTTTGGGTGATGGAGTCATTGCACATGTATTAAAACAAAAAGCAACCGTGATGTCTGAAGTCATTAGAGAAGTCATCACCTTAAAAAGAACATAACATTAAACATTCTAGAAGCTCCATCTTAGATTACAGAGGTCTCTCTGAGCAGTTAAATGTTAATGTTTCTGATAATAATAATAAAAAAACAGATAAAAAGAAAAAAACTTTAAATCTAGACTGAGTTTTATAAATTGTATATATCTGAATCAAAAGGTTTTAGATGATCTCCTCTCTCTTTTCCAGTCCCTGAAGCTGAAAACAGTTCCTGATGTCTTTCCTTTGGATATACCTGGCTCTGTCGTTTCTCCTGCAAAATGCTGTTTCATCAGATCAAGGTATTTCTTTATCTTGTCTGTATTATAAATTGATATTTTGAGAGTAAGACAAAAATAACTACTGTAAACACACTATTGTAAATAAACCTCACGAGTTTTTCACATTTTGCTTTTTATCTTTGTTTAGTGGTTGCACTGGAATGCCCCAAGAACGTAACAGTCACAAAAGGAGGCCAAGTGACAATAAACTGTACAATAAATTGGAACAATAACAAGAGCTGTACCGGTACAGATTACTTTTGGAAAACCGAAAATGATATAATTAAATGTCCGGACAGCTCATCAACAACATATTTCTGTGACTGGGATCACATTAACTACATCTTCCTGAACATCTCTGATGTTCAAAAAGAAGAAAATTTCACAGTTGGAATTAGGGCCCCCTGTGGTTTGGATGACCAGTTAGTCATTCTTCAGATCGTGTGTGAGTGACCTTTAGCATCTGAAAGTCTATTTTCTTTTCACCTATGAAAAAAAAATAAGATTAACAAAATGTGTTTTCACTTTTTTAGCTGAATGGAGCCAATTGGAGGAGCCCCCGGAAAATGAGGAGAGCCCGGAAAAGAAGCTGAACCAGTCATATCTGATTCCCAGCATAGTGGGTGTTCTCGTTGCAGTCGTTGTCGCGGCCATTTTGACTGTTCTTATTAGAAAACACAAAGAAAACTCACACCAGAAAGTGAGTCAAGAAACGTCTGAGAGTGCTTGATGATATCCCTTAGAGATGCAAGATATTTTTGCTCTTTCTTGCTCTTTGGAACCTGCAAAGGTTCCCATGGTTGTGGCGTGTCCGCTGACCTGAAACCTGGACAGTTTGCGTCCGCATGCTGAAGCTGCTGCTGGTAGTGGCTCTATGTAAAAATAAACGGCTTTAATCTACAAGCTTTTTATCCATACAGTGGGTCAGTGCTGAAGCCAGACACAAGGCAATACAGTTGGAGATTGAAGTGTTAATACTTTATATGTTCACACTGGCAATTGTTATAAAAGAAAGTTATTTCTCACTATTTCTGTTGCTCTAAATATGACTACATTTTACTCTCAGGAAATGTCCTTTGCCTACTCCAGATATGTTCCTGTAGCACTAGTTACACTGATTCCCTACTCCCCTCTTTGTTGTTTTAGCTCAAAAAGGATGTAGAAATGTTTTAAATTTATTCATATTTGATCACCAGCTCCATTTGGCATATATGCTCATATTAACATAGTTATATGTATAGTAGTGTGTGTTATTGGGAGTATGTATTAGTTTTATACAGTAAAACTGTATAACATTAACCTTGTGTGGAGGATATTAGTGAAGTAGAGTCTTCCCCCAGATGCTGGATGTCTAGCAGCCTCACACCATTTTCATACGGTCTCCATGGTGACCAGTGTTGGGTGGGTTATCTTAAATGTAGCTGGCTACAATAAGAAGTTACTTAAAATAATACTATTTTAGCTAATTCAGTTCATTTGATAAAGTATTTCACATTATTTTGTTTATTATACTTTTCAATGTATTTGGGGTCTTTTATAGGTTGGTGGTTTTGATATCTTCAGGTTGTAAAATGATAAGGAGAGATGAAAGCTTTAAGAGAAGCCGATCTTCTGGATCTGGTCTTATTAAAGTCCAGTTTTTCATAGAGATGAGACTCGCTTTTGAGAAATTAATGCAGTCAGAATGCAAATGATGTAATGATCTGAGTTTGAATGTTTTCTTTCTTCTGGAAAGTGTTATGCTTTGGTTCATTGTTTTTGTCATCAGAACAAGGCAACCAGATGTTGCTGTTTTTCTTGTAATTTTACATACTTTGGCAAATTTGTACTTTTGTTTGGTATGTCTTTTGTTTCTGACTATGCAAATGTGAAAAGTTGTTTTGGAAATGTATCCAACAGAAAGAAATGGAGGGTACTTTAAAAATGACATTATTACCTATGAATCTTCTAGTATAACAACTTATTCAAGTTGGAGCTAAAACTTTTGTTCCACATCTCTTTAACCTGACCGGAAGAGACTTAGAAGTAGGTCTTCATAAAGGTGAACTGGCAGCACACAAACAATAACACTGATGTCATTTAGCTCAAATGTTTGTATATGAAATTAATTTTATCTTACCCTTTTCTACCTCCTTGTCAGGATAGAAGTAGGATTTGCTTTTTATGTATAATGGACTGAATAAACTACTACAATTAAAAAGCACGGAAAATTATATATTTCTCTTTTTTTATGTAATGAAACAGTGATGGTGTTGTTTTCTGTAAATATCACTAAAATCATTGCCAATAATGTGCAGTTATAAAAAACACTTGAAGTGAAAACAAACAGTTTTGACGGTAACTTATATCATCCAGCAGCCATCAATACAATGGCATCAAGATTGATAAGAAAACAGACTTTCCACGGTCAGAAATCTAACTCACATTTAGTTGACGTATTGTTGACATTTTCCTTGACGTTTTTTGACACGCAGTACAGGAAAAAGTCTGATTTCTGAGAACATGGAGGATTCTCTCTAACCAATTTTCACTGGGTATTTTTTTTTTTTTGGTTTCAGTTGGAATGTTTCAGGTGAACTCATTCCCAGAACGGAGAACCTAAAGTAGAGTGCATTAAAACATGGACAAGCTTTGACTTTATCTACATGAATTAGCTTTAATAAAAACAAAAAAATAAAACAAAAAACCTTTAATCTGATCCCATCAAGTTGTTTGAATTATGGCACATTTCTTGATACACTTCATAAAGACAGTGAAATATGCAAAGCAAAGCAAACTGTTCTCAGTGGTTTTGAAAGCACCTTTACAACGGATGTTGAAGCTACAAAATGAGAGAAAACGTTAAAAAAAAAAAAAAAACACTTTCATACTTGTCACCTTTTAGTGAGTCAATCATCTGTTGACAAACTGCACATCTGTTTTGGAACCGAAAATTTGTTACATAAACAGTAACCTCCCCCACCTCCACCAGCCGCAGAAGCTACAGGTTAGGGCAGGTACCTTGTTGGTTGCAACATGTGAGATTTTTCAACCCACACATGGAGGAATACCCAAAACTAAGACTATCAAGCATTGTTCCATGTAGACTCGAAATTAGTAGGTTGTTTACGATATGCTTTGGTTCAATGAGAAATGTCTGATGAAAACAGGAAATTTAAAGGTTAGAGTACAATTCACTTAACAGTCACTCTATCTAAATACTTCAGTTCTGGTAAAATTAATAATTATAAATTAATAATAATTAAGTTCTTCTCTTAAATACTGTGTTCATGTTCAACCCCTAAATATGGTACTAAAGGTCTTGGGCATCATCAAGATTTTTT